ACTAAAAATAAATAAAAAAGCGGCTGGTATTCAATATTATTTTTATTTAATTACAAATACTTGGCTATTGGTACTCAAGACATAGTCTTTCCATATTATCACTTTTCTATTAGGCCTTGAAATTATGTTAACGACCTAATAGAATTCGGAAAATCCTATGATTGCATAAAACTGCGGGAGGTGCTAATAATGACAAATTTTAAATGAAAATAGAAATTTATTTAAATAAATTTATTTAAATTCTATTTGTGAGTGTCTGCTTTATGCATTTAATGTATCAAATGCAGAAAAGTGAGAAAAATCCATCCAACACAGAGAAATAATTCTTTCTAGTCTGTGGTAAGATTGTATCAAATTCATTTAAACTTCCGTTTAAATTCGAAATGCGATCTCTCAAATCAACGAAGGAATACATTTTTGGCTTTAAATTCTACATTAGTAGCAACTGTATAATAGCTAAACTTACCAAAATATTTGTAGAAAACCGCCAAAATTCTAGAAATTGCTATAAAATCCCGAAAAATATTAGGAAGATTATGCTTGCCAATTCCACGCTGAAAAGATCAAGCGTTTACGAGATGAGCTCGACAGTTAACGAACAACTTGTGGAAAAAATTCAACGCTAAAATATAAATGCATATGCCGAAATTTTCCAAAAATTTCTGATAAATATTGTACTCTCATCGTAAATATGTATGGACTTATAATGTGATGAAAACTGAGTCGGTAAAAGAATGGATTAAAATTTAATTTCCCAAAATAAATTGGTTTACTAAAACTAAATAAAATAGATAAGTAAATAGTAAAAAATTGTGTAACAAAATAAATAATGATCTTTCTTAAAATACTGCCCAATAAAACATGTCGAATAATTGAATGTTCACAAGCTTGGAAGCTAAAATTCTAAAAAGATTTCGGAAAATTCGGCCGTCACATGTTAAAAGAAACAAGTCTACAGGCTACTAGTACAAAGAAAGAGGAGGGAGACAACAACTACTCGTACTTCTTGGCATTCAATAGCGGGGAGGCAATTTTATGGCTTATCCATCACACTAAGGGGAAGCAAACATACTGCCTTAGGCCGGGCCATCTTAGAGAGATTTCAGAAAACGAAAGCGATTTTTTTGGAGGGGTTTGTTGTCTGACAACGCGGCCGTTTTCGAAGCATTTCGTTCCGAGAGGCGGGCTCGTTGATGGTTTAAGTGAGCTTCCAACCTGAAAAGATTGGATTAAAAGTAAAAATATTATAAATTTATATTTTTAATTTTAGTTCATAATGTTCCTTTGGAGGTCGAATTCATCGTTTTAAAAATTTTTTTCTTGTGAGTTAATCAACTTGGCTCAGTTCAAAGATGATTAACTCTGGCATGTCTTAATACATGCAGTTTGCTGTAGAATCATCAGGGTACTTTTCTGTTAAAGCTGTACCACACATTCTTGGTTCCACGTAATTGCATTTAGACCTATTTCTTTCCCTACAGCTTTGGCTTGATACTACGTGAAATAGAATGATTATGAACAGCAGCAAGGAACATTGTCTAATTGCATAACATAATTCCCTCAAAGCGCATTGTGGCCTTTTTTTCTTTTTTTTCCTTTTGTGGATAAGTTTCTATTTTGTATTATTTTCTTGTGCCCATTGATTTTAACATTAGAATGAGATAAAGAACTGGCACATACCTCTCTTATATCATCATTATTATTCTAGTAAACCATGGTATTGTGATTAATTTGAAGCTAGCTTTGGTTTGCAAAACTTAATAGACAATAGTATCTTGTGACAGTAATGAAAGGAATGTAGAATCCCACAAATCACATCTGTGTTTGTACACTTTTCTTCCCAGCATGTGTGAAAGCTGCATAGTCATTTTGAGTGTGAGTTACATATACACTGGTGTGCAAAAATTAAGGACGAGACGGTTTTTTTCAATATAACTTTGTACAAAAGCTTTCCAAATCAACACATTTAATACCGTAAGATCCCCAATACGTAAGGACATGAGTAATGTAAGCAACACTTACTAAAAGAGAAATCAGAGGGATAAAAAGAAGCTTTATTGAAAAAGTAGCAGGGAGCGCAATGCGACTGAAGGCCGAAACATCCCTGTGATGGGTGTCCAGCAAGAAACATCCGGTCTTTAATAGGGGATATGATCTCCCCTGACTGCTAGGCAGGTTTCACAGCGTCTGCCCATGCTGAGAATGAGGGTGTCAATGAGTTGTTGCCCATTCGTCTTGCAGCGCTAATCGAAGCTCCGGAATCGTTACTGGTGGTAAGGTACGAGCTGCCAAGCGTCTGCCTAGAAAATCCCACACATGCTCGATGGGGATTAAGATCCGGGGATCATGCCGGCCAATCCATACGTTCAATATCCTCACTCTCTAAGAGCTGTTCGGCAGCTACTGTGCGATGACATGGTGCATTGTCGTCCATGAAAAGGAACTGCGGACCCATAGCGCCTCTAAAAAGACACACATATGGAAGAAGAATCTCGTTACAATAACGGGTCCCGTTGACTGAACCTGCGTCGAAGATGTGAAGGTCTGTACGACTACCAAGCGTGATGCCTCCCCAAACGAGAACACCGCCACCCACCATAAACCTACCTGTGCCTTTCAATGATGTTCGAGGGATGATTGCGGCTTCCCCGCTCTCTCCAGATGAGTATGCGATGAGAATCGCTACTCAGACTGAATCTGCTCTCATCTAAAAAGAGTACTCATCCCCATTCATTGTCTTTCCAATTCCTGTGTTCCCGGCACCACAGAGAACGCCTTCTCCGATGGCAGGCGTAAGAGGTACACACCGTAAAGGGTGTCGTGCAAACAGACCACCACCGTGCAGTCTTCTGGCCACGGTAAAACGTGATATTGGTCGTCCAGTCGCCTGTGTCATGTGTCTAGCGATTTCTGCCGCCTGTTTCTTCTGGCCTGTAAGGCAATATACCGGTCATCTGCAGGTGTGGTTCCTCGTGGACGACCACTACTAAACCCTCGGATAGCTGTTATTGTAGTTTGAAATTGTCTCCAAAGTCGTGAAACGATGCTGGTGAGCAATTCCGAACTCTGCAGCCACACTTGTCACGCTGCAGCCTTCCTACAACTTCCCAATGATTCGTCCTCAGGTAAAAGCATCCAGATGTCGTCTAACAGATTGATTATTCGCCATTTCTCGCTGAGGCAGCAACTCGGTGTGATTTTAACTGCTATACGGCGTGTAATCTCTTTGCCAGAAATACTGATCTTACACCGACAACATGCTTTATACTACTCAGACACTCCCCCGTTACGTCTACCTGCATATCTGCGCATGTGCTACCATGCATCACCTTACTTAATCTCCTGATTGGTCTTTCTGTGCGCTCTGCCTCTTAGTTCAGCTGATATGTTAATTTTCCGACTTTGTCCTTAATTTTTGCACACCATTGTATATTGAGGTAGTTATTAGAATACAACCTTTCTTTATCTCATTCTTGAAGACATAAGGTAGCCATTTCTTTATCTATCCCAAATTATGAAATCTGTTGCAGAAGGAAAAAAGATTTGAAGAAAACATTGTATGATTGATTTTTATAACTACAGTTATTATCAGGAAAGAAGCCAAATCAAACTGGTGACACCTGAGTCTGAGGAAATGTGCCAAAACAAAAAATGCACCAAATGGAATGAATGGCTTTAATCGAAAAACACCACTAACAGTACCTTCATAATCCATTGCTCCAAAAGTATGAGAAATTATGATGACTCATTTAGACTATTGGTGACATTTTCACAACCATTACAATGACTAATATGGGCATTTTAGTTCAAAAGTATCCCCATTCTTGATTGTAAAAACAATTTATATATACTGTAGTAATTGTAGAGTATATCATTAATGTCTGTGATGTGTCTTTTTATATTACTTGTTTTTTTAACACTGTTGGAGAGCTGCATAGTCTTAAAGGCTGTCATGTCTATCAGCTCATAATTTTTATGAATACTATTGAAGTTTTGATCTACAATCTTGTATGCAAACTTAATTTTTCTGCAAATATTTCAGTTTTTTTAAAGAGAGCAAAAATTATGCCAATTTGTCACTGAGTCTTTATTTTTTAGGCACATATTTTTGGCAGATATTTCAGTTACCATTTGGATTTTTTTAAAACTATATCAAAAATAAGTTCTTTGTTTTCTGGAATGTGAAGTATTCTATATTACATCATTAGACTTAATAACTTTTTTAAAAACTTGGTGATTTTGGCATGGAAATATTGATTCAGTGGTTTGTAATTTTTTTTTTTTTTTGTTTTGTTTTAATAAAGAACCATTAATCTCATTCATGAAATCGTTAAAATAACAACGGTGTATTAAAACTGCATTATTTTCCAAAAAATAACTTGAAAATGAAACACTAGCCCACCCTTATGCTTTAAAATGTCTGAATGTTTTGTGTTTGGTAATTTTTTTCTTCTTGTTCGTGAAACAAGGTAATAAATGTTATGAAATGTAATTTTCAAATTTATCTTTATATGTGAGGGAACTATAAGTATATTGAAAGAATTTTTTTCCTCTAATTTCTGCTTTCATATATGAGTTTTTTATCCATTTAAATTTTTACAAAATATTTAGATTTGTCTACCATTCAGAGTCATTTCATTCAGATTCAGTTAGTTTTCTCTTTTAAACTCACTTTGTGCTTTTTCCTGATTTTTATTCTCAGAAAGTTGGCAGCAGATAATAATCTTTATAAAATGTTATCGTTAAGCTGAAGAAGTCAATCAGAAGTGTTAGATAATTTGCCAGTGATTTGATATGTTATGTCAGACCAGCGAAAAAAAGTATTCATTTGAGAGTGTCATGAAACTCTTGGATTAGACTGTATTTTCATTCAAATTTTTGTGTAAAGTAAGATGTTTGGGAATACTACTTCATACTTTTCTATTTGTATATATTTTGATATATTTACTAGAAATTAATGTGATCTGTATTATATGTGCAATTATCTTCATTTTCAGTCATGTCCGATTCAGAAGATGAAGCTGCAGATGAAGACAAGGAAGAGCCTGAAGCAGAAGCTGGTGGGATAATTGAAGATGTGCCTGCACCACCTGCAGATGAAGAAATGCCACCACCTTCAAAAAAGAAGAAAGTTGAATCTGATGATTCAGATGATGATGTTGACAGGAAAATGAGGTGAATTAATAGAATATCTATGTTACTTAATTTTACTAACTTTTAATGCTCATTACTTTATGGATTTATTTTTGATAAAATACTGAGTTATTTTGCTATTTAGATGGGATGTTTAATAACTTTTTATTTACTCATATACCTTTCAACCAAGTATTTTTAGCATATGATTTAGAAGCATTGTATTTATTAGCATGATTTTACAATGTTCTGTTTATTATGAAATGGATTCCTCCACAAACTGATGATGTAACATCGAGATTTTCACAGATTAGTATTTTCAGACAATAAAATTAGTTAAAAAAGGGGGGAGGTAATATGCAAGGAAATACAATATTAACAAGTCATATTCATATACTCATTTTAATTACATAATAATGCATTAACTGCTCCTCTCAGCATAATTCTCCGCAGTATAGGTTTCCCTGTTAGTTTTGGGTGGTAAGATTAGTGAAAAAGAAGGTGATACCTGTTAGAACTTCTGTCATGATTTAGTGAAATTGAAGAAATATGCAGAATTTTGTAGACATATGTATTAAAGATTATAGTGATGAAGATAACTTTGTGCATTGTGATTATAAAGAAAGGAAGACATTCAAATAAAAAGTAGCATTTATAAACATAAAGTTTACTCCTGACTGCAATTTCATGCGAACTCGACCTCACTTTGAAAGTCCTCCATGAAGACGTCCCTCTTTTTAAGTAGATAGCTTTTGTGGCTTTGCTGTATTCAGTAACCTAACCTAACCATCCCTCAAAAATCTTTGATACTTATGAATTTTATATGACTTTATATGTTTGTTTCTCATAAATCAGTCATTCTCAGTTTTTTTTTGGAAGGGGGATCTAATGCCTTAAAGTTCTTTGTGTGTCATATGGACCTGTGTTCTAAGTTTCATGTCTCAAGCAGTGATTTCCAAATGATATATGTAGTTGAAAGTAGTTTCCATGTCTATTATTAGGTCCTGTACATTTAATGTTTATTATATTTGGAAATATAAATATAAAATTATTATAATTATATTTATAAAGACAGAAATTTTTATGTATAGTACATACCTGCCAACTTTTACAAATTTTTCGTAATTTTTACGATTTTACGATTTTTTTCCTTTTTCAAGTGTTTTTAGTGATTTTTGTCGAAATTTTAGAATTTTTTGCCAATTGCATCGTGTTTTACCGCCAACTACCGACTACTTCGAATCCAGTAACCTGCGGTTTCTCCCAACTCGCCGCTTAACCAGCCAATCCAATACGCTAAACTTGTTTTTCCCACTCTTTTCTTTGTGGGCGCCAGATTATTTTTTTTCACGTTCGCTTCAACAGCAAGGGAATTACTCAGCGAGCGTGGATTGTTGCATCCTGTTTTTTTTTTTTTTTTTTTTTTTTTTTTTTTTTGGGCTTGCACGTGCTACGAATTTTCTCAATACGTCGTTGTTACGAAATGAGTTAAAAAAACATATTCTCAATATTTTCGAGCTGCCTACAAAGCCGAATTTCCAACAATTAAAGAATCCTTCAAAGGAAATAACTATGCATTTTGCAACGTGTGCGTGTGTGACTTTATAATAAGTCACGGTGGAAGAAGCGACGTTGTGAAGCATGTTAAGTCTAAAAAAGCATGAAGTTAATGCTTCGGCTTCGACAACGTCAAAGAAAGTGGATGATTTTTTTTCAGATTCGGCTACGAATTCGGATGCCAATGTCATTTTGGCAGAGTGTTTGTTTACTGCATTCCTCATCGAACACAACGTGCCACTAAGCGCTGCCGATCACGCCGGTCGACTTTCAGACGGATGTTTCCCGACTCCAAGATTGCTCAGAAATATGCTTGTGCTCGCATGAAAACATCTTCTAGTGTGAACGAAATTGCTTGCGATGCACAAAGTAAAACGATAGCTGCACTCCAGAATTCAGCATTTTCGGTGTCAATCGATGGCAGCAACGACAGCGATTGGAAGCTTTACCCCATCGTTGTCACATATTTCTGTGATGTTTCTAATGAAATGAAAACTCATCTTTTGCGTCTTCCATTGTTAAATGGAGACGCTACAGGGGAAAATAATTGCCTCATTGGTAATTAATGAGTTGAAACAACTTAACATCCCAATATCAAACTGCATTTCATTTGGTGCAGATAATGCTCATGTCATGGTGGGTGACAAAAAGGGTGTAGCCCCCTTTCCTCAAAAAAGAACAAAATGAATTAATTGTTATTGGATGCCCATGCCACTTAATTAATTTGGCAGCAGAAAAAGCTGCAGCTGCTTTACCATTAAATATTGACCAGCTTTTGATTGATGTGTTTTTCTATCTGGAAAAAAGTGTAAAAAGGAAAGAAAACCTAAAGAATTTGCAAGAACTGTGCTCTGGTGAAATGAGAAAAATTCTGAAACGTATCCACGAGATGGTTGTCCTTAGGCAGAGCACTAGGAAGGTTTATTGAACAGTGGGATGCATTGCTAAAATATTTCCACGAAGAGACCAAAACGAAACCACAGATCCCATCAAATTTGTCGGCATATAAGATTCCGAAAACCAACTTTGCTTCTAATCAAAATGCTTTAAAAGGGAAAAGCCAACACACAGAATCAAACCCTTTAAAAAGAAAATGCTTAGAAGACTCCTCAAAGGTCAACTTTGTTAAAGAAGTTGAAGGGAAGAAGAAACAGTCTTCTATTAGCCGATCTATGTTCTTTCTTCGGATTTGAACAAAGCATATTGTAGTTTTGTGTTAAGTACCATTAAGATTTTTGAAAGTGTAGATTCGTTTTTTTATTGATAAATTTCCATTTTTGTTAACAATTAAAGAAAATGAATGCCATAATGATGCTTTAGATGAACTACAGAACCAATTTTCTGCTGCACAGTTTGAAGACTTTGCCAGTTCTGGAGAAGATAGACTTGATGTCCTCGTTGCTACCTTAAAAAGAATAAAAAGAGCTGATGGAACACCAAAATATGATAGACTAGCAAGAGTTTTAAGTGCTATTCCCGTAATTCCACACAGTAATGCTGAGTGCGAGAGAGTCTTCAGTGTTGTGAAGAAAAACAAAACTATGTTTCGTTCTTCAATTTCACCAAAAACTCTAGAATTTTAATTGCTAAATGTTATGAGGAAACTAATTGTTATGACAGGAAATTTTCCAAAGAATTTTTGGCTAAAGCCAAAAAATGCACTCTAAATCATTGCAATAATTTTTTTGTGTAACATTAAGTTCTTGTTTTATGTTTATTAATAAATTTTTTAGTTACTACTTAATTGAGATTTACTAATGTAAGTACAATTTTCTTTTTTCTATTTGTATAAATTGTTATTTTTTTAATATCAAAGCATGATATTAATTTTTCGTGTTCTTCTGAATTTTGGAGAAATCTTCTGAATTTGGGGTAGATCTTCTGAATTTTTATCTTTAGAGGTTGGCAGGTATGATAGTATATAAATAAAGTAATACTTCTATGAGTTTCAATGCTATTTGGCCCTCCAGTAGCTGATAATGCTGAATATTGATAGTTCGACCTAGATTTCAATCCCAATAAACATGTTGTTGTATGGGTGTTTTTCTGATTCCATATTAGCTTCTTTTGAGCCATCCCCCCTTATCATGTTATGAATGAGTTTCTTATTGAAGATTCTCTATGAAGACAACTTTTCCTTTTGGGCAAAATAGTTTTAATGTTGTTTGCCACTATACAAAACAGTCCGGTCAAGTTGCTGCTCGTATATGATGCCTTGTGTTAAAATTTTCCAGCTCTTATTGTCTTTTTGTAATGCGATTTCAACTGCGACTTAACTATTGCCAGATTAAGAGAGAAATGATTTGGGTGATGTACTAGTATGTTTAGTTTAATATGACTCTAAATCCGGCTTTTTAAAACATTTAACTAGAATACAATCAGATCAGACCAGCTGTTGATTATTTAACATGTTGTTCATGAAAAGTTTTCCAAATCATGTGTCTGCAGAACTTCACAGGGCTTGGACCACTAGGTTGGCAGTTGGATCTGTGTTCAAATCTTGGTAAATGATATCGGTGTTTTTCCCACATGTGACATATAGTCATGTCAGTTTCCCTTAGAAAATCCTTCTACAAAGGCATTCTTCCTCTCAAGCTGACAGTCCTCATATGCTTTGCTACCCTATAAATTCAGATTCAAAACTTCCCAAACATTTAATCACAAAAACAATCGTAAAATGTTTGCTCTTTCTTTTGCAGACATCCAAACTAGACTTGCATTTGTTAAAATTAGTTGATTGAATAATATTTCAGATTGATAATACATTTTGTTGTCACTGTGTCAGAACCTCAAATTTGCAGAATTTTTCTTTTAAAAAATCATATGCAAAGGCTTGATATTTGCTTGGTTAAAAAAAAAAAAAAAAAAAAACACAACTTCTCTCATTCTTCAAAATGTCACTTTATAGTTTTGGCTTTGTGCATAGACATTTTATTATATGTACAGTGGTGCCTCGCATAAAGAACGCCTCGCACAGCGAACGCTGCACACAATGAACTTCATTTCATGATTCATACAATGAACTTCGTTTCACACAACGAAGTCGCCCGAGCTTCCACGACCGCTTTGCCTGAGCTTCCACGACTGCTTCGCCCGAGCTTCCACATAGGTCTTCAATCCACAAGGAAATGGAGAGGCTATTAGCGATTTGGATTAAGGACAGGCAGGTGAAAGGTGACGTAACAACCCAAGATATTATCTGTCACAAAGCCAAGAGAATTTATGATGATCTAAAGAAAAACGTCCCTGGAAGTAGCAGCAATCAAGATAATGAAGAAGAATTCAAAGCCAGCAGGGGTGGTTTTTTAGATTTAAGAAAAGGTGTGGAATCCACAGCGTTACTATGCATGGTGAGGCTAGCAGTGCTGACAAGAAGTTGATGATACAGAAGGAGTGAAGGACATCATCACAGTGGCCCAAAGGTTGGAATTAGAGGTAGAGGAAGAGGATTTAGAGGAGCTTATTGAGGAACACGAAGAAGAGCTGACAACTGACAAGCTCCAAGCACTTCTGGTCCAGCAACAGGACAATGCTCAAAGGGAAGCATCATCTGATAACGAGGAGCAACAATCAAACAAACAACCAATCCCAACTGCTGACATCAAGAACATCCTGGTCAAATGGAAAGCAGTTCAAGAGTTTACCAATGTGCACTATCCGGATTCAGCTGAAGCAAACAGGATCAACGATCTTTACTCCGATACTCTTGTCCGTTATTTCCAGCAGATGTTGGAGAAAAGAGAAAAACTTTGGCAGATGTTGGAGAAAAGAGAAAAAGACTTTGGACAGGTTTTTCATGAAACCATCGGCGAAAAAGCAGAAAATGGATGAAGATGTGCAAGATTCGGTAGACTCTACTTAGTCTGTCTTAAAATTTAAAAAATGTGTGTTTTTTTTTTTAAAAATTATGTTTTTAGATGTATCTAAATAAAAATAATAACAAAAAATTTATCTTTATGTCATCTTAGCATATTTTATGCTACAGAATGAATTATTTTTTTAAACATGTTTTGTTATGGGAAAACGCGTTTCACATAACGAACTTTTCGCATAACAAACTTGCTCCTGGAACGAATTAAGTTCGTTGTGTGAGGCACCACTGTATTTTCAATGAAGCGAATGAATTCTAGAGACATTCTGTTGCTGTTTAAATTATGTAAGTCTGGAAATAGTTGCATTTTAAAACCTTTCTAGCTGTCTGAGTGGGATGCAAGGTAAGTGCAGGCAAATATATGTTGTGAAATGATATTATTTCTGATTGAATATTATTCTTTTATTATTGAATGTTAATACCAACTCTGAAATAGTATACAGTAACACTGAAATGGAGCTTATGAATTATTACGGTGTTTTTTCCATGCTATATAAGTACCAAAAAAGTGTATAATATGTCACAGAAAATCTCAAGAATAATTTCTGTTTACAGGGAAGATTTTATATCAGATTTCGATCTCATGATGCAAAAGAAGAAGGAAGAGAGCTCTAAGAGGAAACGACGAAGAGATGTCGATTTAATCAGTGATAGTGATGACCTGATTGCAGATATTATCTCACAAATGAGACAAGCAGCTGAGGTAATTGTGTTTTATTTTGTTGTTACTTTGTTTAAAAAGGGAAATTTAGCATTTTGGAGTTGGGAAACAATGACATTTCAGGTAACACTGAATGTGAGGAAAGTGGTATTGGCACAGATTTTATTTAGCAGAAATGCTTTCAACAGTTAAACATATTGCTTTCTTTACCTGCAACTAAAAGGAGGAATCATATAGAATCTTTCTATATGAATCTTTCTTTTATAATATATTTGAATATAAAAGAAAGATTTCAAGAGAGAAACATATTGCTTTTTTTACCTGCAACTAAACAATAAGTAACTTTGGGATACTTGTTGTTTAGTTGCAGCTTAATTAGGCAGTAGTGTTCAGTTGCTGAAAGTGCTTCTTTAGAACTAAGTTCTGTGTATTCTCTTTTTGTAGTGTTTGTTTTTTATTTAATTGCAAATGAAGAAGAGAGCATTGTTCAATCAATGAAGACTAAAATAAAAACAAAGTCAATGAACGAAGTTACAATCTATTTTTTCTTGCACTAAATTCAGGAACTTTTCTTATATTGCATAGATAACAAACAGTGAAAATAAAACTTACAATTTATTTCCCACCAGTTTTACCCACATTAATGAAATTACTACTTAAATATTCCTGTCTTTACATTACAAAACTTACAAATAAACTTTACACATAATTCAGAATAATTAAGTATAAATGAAGTATTAATCAAGTACTAATATGTACTAAATATGAATGCAACTGAGGTACAAAATAGCTTCAAAATTTCCTGGTTATTTTAAGAAGATTGTAATGCCCATAACCCGAGAAGGAGAAGGAAAAGCCTAGCCAGCGAAATAATTGGTCCGACGGAGAGGTGGTTCGTTGGACGGAAGGAGAAAGGACGAACAAAAAGACGAGGGGGGCGAAGAGGACTTGGCACCCTGGTTGTCGGACGGGACGGTGGGAGTTTTTTTTTGGCGGGGGAGAATCGCCATTTTCTTTCGTCATGGAGAGATTGTTTTTTCTCATCCGGCGGAGACCATGCCGGACTTACCTATTCATGCTTGTACATATAATGTATAATAATCAAGAATTGTTCAAATGCTTCATCGCAGGGGTGAGTACTGATTTTTTTTAGTTCTCTGTTCGATCGGATGCAGGGTATTTTTTTTTTTTTTTTTTTTTTTTGTTTGGGTACGGCTAAAAGGTGCAAGATTGTAAAGCAAACTGTAGGAGAAATTTTATCTGAAGTTAAATTACTTTTCTTTAAGTTTAAAATTATTCTGCGTCAGGATACAAAAGTTTAGGGGTATCATAACACAGGTCAATTGAAATTCTGGTTTTGGAGCTCCGGAAATGGTGGAAGCTCGGTAGAATTTAAGTGTTATATATATATTTTATGTATGTAAACTTTTGTATGTGTTTTTGTCGTATGAATAATTTAGGGAACTGTGTATTTAGTGAAGAGTAATTTTCAGTGATATTTTTCTTACTGCAAATACTATTTACGGTTTTATTACTGTTTCATATCAAATGTAAAGTTATTCTGAGGTAAAGTACTAAAATTTGTTAAAAGGATTGTTGTAACATTTAACTGACAGATGTCATTTTTTGTATCAACTCATAAAGTATGTAAAAGCTCAGATAATTGATTAGAGTGCATATATGCTTGTATATTTAAATTTTAGTAGGTAAAATAATTTTTTTTAGAATAACTGGTTGATTTTTGTATATCTCTTTTACAAAAATAAGTGGCTGTATTTATACTTTATGACTTATGTTATAGTAATTATCAGTGAAGTTTTTGATTTTATTGCTGTGCATATTGTTTTAATATTTCATTATGGCATATTTAATGAAAGGAAAGAAGGCCGATCTTGTACTTCTGGCCGATGAATTAGGGGAAGTTGTCTCGGATGATTTAAAAATGATCGAATTAAAAAATATCATTCTGGGAAGTAAAAATTACGAAGAGGATGTAGTTAAAGAGCTGTTAACTTCGATCATTTCCGAGAGAAAAGAGAAAGAAAATATGGAGCTAGCCGAGGGGAGATTACGCATAGAAAGCGAACGGATAGCATTAGAAAGATTAAGACTCGAAGCGGAAAACCGGAGTCTAAATTCGGAAGGTCCGGTGGATTCGACAATGAGTCCCAGAGTTAAAAGTTTGGATGAAATTGTGAAAAAACTATAAAATTGCTGACGGTGAGGGTTCCCGCAGGGTCAGAAGGCTGGAATTATTTTTTTAACAGTTTAGAAAAGGCCCTCGCGAGTGAGAAAGTAGCGGATAATTTAAAATCTAAGGTGTTAATGTGTTTGTTAGGAGACAAAGCTGCGCATCTTTTAACTTATTTAGAGGAAGAACAGTACGAGGATTACGAGGCTTTGAAAACCATAGTGCTTCGGGAATATGAACCTTCACCTAAGACTTGTTTGGAAAATTTTAAGCGGGCTAAAAGGAACCCGGAGGAAAATTTTACTCAGTTTGCTACAAGATTAAATTCTATGTGGAGTTATTACTGCAAATTGAGGGGAGCGACGGATCTGGAAACTGTCAATCAGTTAGTAGTTGCGGACAGATTAATGGAAACGCTCGATACGGAAACTGCTACTCATATTGGTATTAAGCAAGGTGAAAATTGGTGGAAACCAAAGGAGTTAGCGAGAGAATGCGATATGTTTTTTTCGGCAACGGGAAATCTTACGCTAAGGGTTATAGGAAAGAGAATGATATTAAAGAGGGATTATCACCAGAGAGGATTAAAGTAAAGCCAAAAGAAAGCTATAAACTTGGTCCAGAGAAGCAGGCTTCAACAGTGTCAAATAGAGGCAAAATAAACTCTCCTCAGAAAAATTTCGCATGTTACAAATGCGGGTCAAGAGAACATTTTAAGCGTGATTGCCCTCAAAATAAAAATACGAAGGACAAATTTGCGAAAGTGAACAGAGCAAGTGCAGTAGATAGTGGAGAGGTTATCGAAACTCAAGAGAACAGAGTTATTGTTGCCAAAGCGGGACATTTTGGAAAGGAAATTTCTAGACAATCAATCGAAGAGGAGTTATGCAAATTGGATAGAGTGCAGGTTAGTGTAAACGGTCGGATAATGTAACGGATTAATCGATTCTGGCAGTGAGATAACGGTTGTAAAGGAAAGTATAATTCCAAATTTTAGATCTGGAAGCGGATCGGCAATTTATTTGAAGGGGATTTTTGGACCGCCGAGAGAAGGTGTGAGTTAGTAAAATTACCTTTAGCACTAATTAATGGAAAGGGTACAAATGTGCATCAGGAGATACTTTGCGCGGTGGCGAAATCTTTAGTTGAAGATGTTTTATTACCCCCACAGGTGTTATATATGTTACGGGGCGAAAACACTTGTAAAGATCGACAGTTCAACGGAGAGACGGAAGTAGCAGTGGTTTGGTTCTACGAATCGAAGGATTCCTCGAACGTGGGAGAGGCAGAAACACCTCAGGGTAAGTTAGAAACGGACATTCAAAGCCACGTAGCTGCTATCCCAGATGTCGGAGCGCCCTTAGTGGAGAAAACAACTAATTTATCTCAGACAGCGGAGTTTCGTCAGCAACAGAAAGAATGCACTGACTTATCTAAGATGTGGGAAAGAGCGAAAACGGATAAAGGAAATTATTTTGTGAGGGACGGTTTTCTTTTTTTTCATCGGGACAAGATTTTGGGACAGAGTGCAGAGCAATTAGTTGTTCCTAAATGCAGAAGGAATGAAATTCTAGAGCTCGCGCATGCATCAGTGTTTGGAGGACACATGGGAATTAAAAAAACATTAGAGAGGATTCGTTATTCCTTTTATTGGGAAAACGTGAAAAGAGATGTCCAGGAATTTTGCGAATCATGTGAAAGTTGTCAATTAACAAAGCCAGTGAAAGTGAAGGACAGAGCGCCAATTACTCCAGTAGCAGCAAGACCAGGGTTACCTTTTCAGGTTGTCAATGTAGATTTAATCGGACCTATAGATCCTCCTAGTTCGAAGGGGCATAAATATATTTTGTGCTTGGTGGACCAGCATACTAGATGGGCCGAGGCAGTGCCATTAACCAGTCTGACGGCAAAAACTACCTGCGACGCGTTGCGTTGCTGCAGATTTTCTCCAGGACCGGAATTCCTAATGTGATTGCGTCAGATAATGGTACCAATTTTAACGCAGACTTAACACGGGAATTTGAGAAAAGATTAGGATCCAGTCCGAGATTTTCGACACCCATGTACCCTCAGTCAAATGGTTTAGTCGAAAGGTTTAATCAGACTTTGAAACGTATGTTGCATCATATTATTAGAGAGGAAGGTCGAGCTTGGCATGTCCAAATACCTTACGCATTATGGGCATACAGGGAAATACCTAACAGTACTACAGGGGTATCACCTTTCCAACTATTGTATGGTAGACCCCCACAAGGACCGTTATCTATTTTAAAATCTACATGGTTAGGGGAGCATGACGAATTAAAATTCGATCTGAAGCCAATTCATAAATATTTGCAAGATTTGAAGGAGCGGTTGAAACGTGCTGCTGAGCAAGCTGATCTTACGAGTGAAATCCAACAAGGTAGGATGGCGCAGTATTATAATTTGCGCTCTTCGAGTAAAACTTTTGAAATAGGAGATAGGGTTGTAGTCCTCATACCTGATTCAAGCAACAGGTTATATGCTCGTTGGCAGGGTCCTGCAGTGATAAAGGAAAGGAAAAACCCACACTCTTTTTTAGTAGAATTGGCAGACGGGAGCATTAAGCATGTACATCAAAATAAAATAAGGAAATTCATTGTGCGGTCAAATGCAATCAATGTAATGTTTGACGGGGAAGAGTTCGGGGAGGTAGACAATATTCCCTCTACTTTAGACCAGGATAGTAGTTTTGAAAGTATGTTAAATAATCTAAGTACCACTAATCTTAACAACAAGCAGATTAATGATCTAAAACTACTGTTGGGAAAGTACAAGAACTTATTTTTGAGACATGTTCAACCTGCTAGAGTAGGACAACATAAGATTGATCTTATGCCTGGAGCAGACAGGAAAAAAAACCTCATTGTTATGGCATTCCAATGGCATATCGCAAGGAGGTGGACAAACAAGTCAAGGAACTTCTAGAGCTGGGTCTCATTGAACCGTCGGAAGCGGACATAGCCCATCCGGTTGTGTGTGTGGTCAAGAAAGACGCGACAATCAGGATGTGCGTTGATTTCAGGGCATTGAATTCGATCACTAAAGTGCCGGCATTTCCTATGAAGGATATGCATGAATTAATATATGTGGCTGGGCATTCAAAATGGCTATCAAGTTTAGATATGCGCAGAGGATACTGGCAAATCGGAATGGAGGAATCAAGTAAACCACTGACAGCGTTTTCAACTCACAACGGGACGTTTCAGTGGAACGTCATGCCGTTTGGTTTGGCAGGAGCGTCAGGTACCTTTCAAAGAGAAATGAATAAGGTTCTTTTCCGGTACAGCGATTTCGCCCAAGCATATATAGACGATATTATAATTTTTTCAAACACGTTTGAAGAACACCTGAAGCATCTAGAAACGATCCTTAAGATACTGGAACAGTTAAAATTTTCTGTCAGGCTCAGTAAGTGTGATTTTGCAGCTAAGGAAATAGATTACCTAGGACATAAGATAGGAAACGGCAAACACGGCCCAGATCCTAGTAAGATTGCAGCAATTAAAGTGCTAGAAAGGCCCACGAATAAAAAGGGAGTCCGTTCGGTATTGGGTCTCATGGGATTTTATCGCACATATATCCCGAACTATGCCGAGATAGCTGGACCTTTGACGGATTTGACGAAAAAGAATGCGCCGAATAATGTACGGTGGGGTCAAGTTGAAGACGCGGCTTTCCAGAAGTTGAAAGATATGCTGTGTCAGGTGACGTCTCTGTCCACGCCTGACTTTAATTTTACCATTTCAGGTGCATTCTGATGCATCAGATGTGGCCGTCGGTTGTTGTCTAACTCAGAGAGATGCACAAGGGCATTTTAAACCAATAGCTTTTGCATCCCAAAAATTTTCTGGGGCTCAAAAGAATTGGGCAGCCATAGAAAAGGAGGCCTGGGCAGTGTTATTCGGGCTCAAGAAATTTGATAAGTGGATTTTCGGGGGGACGGTGGAAATCATTACGGACCATAATCCTTTGAAATATCTCACTGAAATTACACCTAGGAGTCCAAAATTAACGCGTTGGGCTCTCTCTTTGCAAAGATGGAATTTAAAAATCACTTATCGTCCAGGAGTACAACATCGAGCCGCAGATGCGTTGTCACGATTGGTGTGAATATTAGTAATATTTAAAAAGAAAAAAAGGGAACCACAGATATTCAGAAGTTCGTAATTCTTGCCTTAAAATACTTTTCGAGATAATTTGTTTAAATGTTGTTGGTAAACAAAAAAATGTTTGTCTAATGTAGAATGTATTTATGCAGTTATGTTTAGTGTAATATTTGTATTTGTTAAACGAAAAAACATGGTAAGAAGACTTTTGTATCCTGATCAGAGTTTGGTTTTTAAGTACCCCCTGCACCTGGTCGGGTAGGGGGCTGAAAAATTTCAGTATCCATGTCAGCCATCAGGAACTTTGACATTTTGTATGAAATCAAGTGTGTCAACTAATAAACCTCTGAACTCTGATTCTGACGAATTCGGAATTGATTAGGATGAACGCTGGGTTTTGTATCTAATGAACTCTACATTATTTCTAATGAACGCTGAACGGTTCGGTTGAACCTGTTGTGAAAATTAGCCTTTAAGAGGCAAATCTTCATCTTGGTGGGGGCGTGTAATGCCCATAACCCGAGAAGGAGAAGGAAAAGCCTAGCCAGCGAAATAATTAGTCCGACGGAGCAGGTGGTTCGTTGGACGGAAGGAGAAAGGACGAACAAAAAGACGAGGGGGCGAAGAGGACTTGGCACCCTGGTTGTCGGACGGGACGGTGGGAGTTTTTTTTTGGCGGGGGAGAATCGCCATTTTCTTTCGTCATGGCAGAGATTGTTTTTTCTCATCCGGCGGAGACCATGCCGGACTTACCTATTCATGCTTGTACATATAATGTATAATAATCAAGAATTGTTTACTTATTAAAGTTTATTGTTAAACAAACAAAAAATGGGTGTCATCTATGCGTCGATCGACGGTGACATGTGTGAAGCAACTGAACCCTACGCTATGGTTTAACACAACGATGCTTATCTGTCTCGGCACGACTACCACAGTCAACTACAAAGATATTTTAAAATAATTAATATGGTATTTTTATCAAATAGTTACCTCTCAACTGTTGTGCACTTTCACAGATTTCATAAAATTGTTGGAAGCAGTCTGGAGTTTTATATCTGAAAATTAATTTTTATGCCTGAGTTGGAAGGATTTGTGAAGATTTAATTGCGGTGTTTAATTTTTGAAATGTCTAAAGCTGAAGGATCTTTAGGGTCATGTTATATAGGCCTTCATTTAAGAGTTTAGCGACACCATTCATGCAAGTGTTTTTGTTCGTGGCGGTTTTCTGGCATCTTGTCAGCTTTTGAAATCGTAATATTTGGGATGGAATGAATTTCGAGTAACATAGCTTTCTTTTTTGTGTTTAGGTCATGGTTTTTTAATAATTGCTTTCTATGTTTCTGAAACTTTATTGTACTTGAAAGCTCTTCATCTTTGGACCTCTCAAAAATAAAGCAGTTAAATCCCTATAGATCTTTCACCTCATTTAAAAAATTGTTGCTTATCCCATCTGTTGTGAACTGTGCATGATAATACAGGGTTCGTACGGTCCTTAAGAGTCCTTAACCCCTTCGAGCCGGGTAGTGAAAACGCGCGCTTATCTCGGAGGCCGGCAGTGTCTTACGCGAGCGTCTCTCCAGGGCCGGGAGCTATTTTGGTACTAAGCCTAAATCCATGAAATTTCCGAAGTATCAACGCATAATGCTCTATAGAGTATTTAAACGGCTTATGCTTTATAGATATTTATATATATATACTTTAATTACCTTATTTCTTGTTTAAATGCATATTTTACACATTTTATTTTAATTACTCACCATTTTATGACTTTTAACATTATACATCTGAAAACTAAATATATTACTTAAAATTCTCTTTTCGTATGAAAAATTTGGAAACAGGGATCTACACACAGTCCTACGTTACATTCCTTGCACTCATAATAACTCATTTGCCGTTTTGGAGGATTTTTCCGGGAATGTGAACAAACGAAGCATCGTCGTCTCATTTTCTTATCAGTCTCTTCTGAACAAAGTTTTGGAAAATGTCTTTCAGTTAATCTTTCAGAATCAATATCTGAAATATTTTGCATCATTTCTGCTATTTCATGCTCTGTTAAACATTTTCGACTTCGACATTGCAACGGTAAAAACAGAAAGAATTCACATCTAACAAGGTCTAATTATTTTCTAAAAACTGAACTGCAAACCGAAATACTCAACGCTTTAGCGCATATAAAACTTCTACTTACAATAAACAACTACCGCGTGCGAATAAAAGTGCGATTTAAAGAGACGTAATAAATCACGCCATTCGGAAACATTTAGTTCCCCGTTTGTTTATATAATCAAAAACATGTGTATGTGAGTCATGCTTCTCTCATTTCGAGTAAAAGGTCTAATGTACATGTACCTGAAACCCTATGGACATACAGTGCCATCTTGTGGCAGAAATTATAGTTTGAAAAACGTTCCAGGACACTGGCACAAATACATGACAGTCGGTAGTCGGTAATACTTTGCTTGTTTGTGTACCACTTATTTTTTTCTTGGGTACCACTAGTTGAGAACCTCTCCTCTAGACTGCCAAAATGAGGCATAAAAAAATCAACATAAAGCTAACTATTAGTAAAACGTAAATGTCACATATCTTCTTTCAAATATGTCAAACCCGTTATAAATGTAAAATATTTAATGCTATTTGGTAAACTGCATGAAGTTTTATTTTATTTTCAAAGTTATTAATAATTATGTTCATTAATTCATGTTTAGTAATAATGCATACTACTTATCTATTTTATTTTTAAGATGATATTACAAAAGTGAAATTCAGGCATAGAATAATATTTTTAATTAAATTTAATCAGTTTCCATTTGTTCATAGGTCCTTAATTTTTTTCATTAATGGTCCTTAAAAGTCCTTAATTTCCATGTGCAGAAATGTGTACGAACCCTGTAATATGCTATACCAGAAATTCATAAAAATGTTATTCCATTCTGATCCATTGTACTGAATATGGGTACTCTCTCTTATCCATTAGGCTAAATACCTATATTTAGTTTCTAGATTTTCGGCTTTGTTAGTTAATAGTACTTATACCATAAAACATTCAATAGAGTTTATGAATAAAAAAAAAAAAATCTTTTAGAAATTTCATTGTGGTTTCTTCTGATGCAAAATCGTTATTCACCAATGTTCCAGTGGAAGATGTGCTTGAATGTCTAGAGACTTAAAAAAATTCATTTTTCATTTATCAAATTGATTAGTTCATTTCTCTTACTCAGCTTTGTCTGAAACAGATAAATTTTGTTTTTAAAAGTAAATATTATCACCACATCAAGAGATTAGCCATGTGAAGCCCTCTCAGTCTTATTCTTGCCGATATCTGTATGTTATCATGAATCCAAATGATTTGAAATATTAAACTTCCCTATGTGTGGTTCTGATATATTGACAATGCATTTGCTCTGTTTGAAGGTAACAAAAAAGATTTCTGAAGTTGAGACAAATGCTTGATTGATTGCGATTTGTATAAAAAATTTTATATATAGACCTATCAACTATTTATTGCATTGTGTGGCTTATTGTAAATACTGATTTCATAATTGTAATAACGTATAGTAAAAGAATCTATGCAGGGTTTGTGTTGTACAAATTTGTATTAAAACATTTTGTATTATTTTATCATTTTATTGAAATATTTATATAGGAGGATAAGGAATTAAACAAGCAAAAGAAAACAGCTACCAAAAAGTTGAAAATTTTATCTATGGTTATGTCACAATTGAAGAAGCAAGATCTGAAGATGGCATTCTTAGAACAAGGTGTCTTGCATGTGATTGCAGAGTGGTTGGCACCATTGCCAGATCGTAGTTTACCTCATCTTAATATACGAGAAGGCATGCTAAAACAGCTCAGTGATGTAAGTTGAATTCTTTGTTTGATGTATTTGCCTAGTAAAATTTGATTTCCACAGAAAAGTCTTCTCAAAACTTTTGGACTGCTGTGTTTGATATATTGAATTATATTTTACTTCTAAGCATTTGTCATCTGCTTAATTTCATAAATATTGGTATTGTGCGGAATATAATATCTTTAACTGATCTTTCTGTATCTTCTAACTTTTATGAATTTTTCATAATTTCTATGAGAACTATTCTTATTTTACAGTGCAAAATTAACTTTTTTTTTTCAAATAGTAAATTTTTCTATAAAGTATAACATTTACAAATTTATCTCTATTAAATATATAAATAAAAAAGTTTGAAAGCTAGGCAGTTAATTCCATCAATGTCCGCTAGAAAAGCTCACTCTGAATCGCTCATATTTGCATGTAACTGAATGGTTTTCTGTGATGTGCAAGCATTTGTCATCTGCTAAATTTCATAAATATTGGTATTGTGCAGAATATAATATCTTTAACTCATCTATCTGTATCATCTAACTTTTATGAATTTTTCGTAATTTTTATGAAAACTATTCTTATTTTACAGTGCAATTAAAATTTTTTTTTTTTTTTTTTTTTTTTTTTTTTTTTTTTTTTTTTCAAATAGTAAATTTTTCTATAAAGTTATAACATTTACAAATTTATATCTATTAAATATATAAATAAAAAAGTTTGCAAGCTAGGCAATTAATTCCATCAGTATCTGCTAGGAAAGCTTCTCACTCTGAATTGTTCATATTTGCATGTAACTGAATGGTTTTCTATGATGTGCAACTAGATCCAACATTCCAAACAAGCAAGAAGAATATGCACTCCTTAACAGTTTGTGGAAAGGTCGACTGTGAAAACTCCTGATTTTATGTTTGCTTATAAATGTGATTTCATCTTGCAAGCATGAAATATATAATTTTGTTTTAACTTGATTGTTTTCTTAGAGGCCATTAGGGGGACCGTGGACTTTGAAAAAGCTAAAAATCGACCAAAATATTGAAATTTTTTTTTTTTACTCTCGTTGTATTACATATACTTAACTGCATCGTATGTAAAAAACCGAATTCAAATATTCTAATTTTTAACGAAGTTACAAGCATTTAAAATGTGTAAACAACATAAACTTTGCCCTTTAAATTTTGGCGAAAATGTAAACAAATATGTTTCAACAGTTATTTGCTGATATTTATATACTTATATATTTAATTCTTTATAAACCTGGCAATATAACGTTTTAACTGTAACTGCCATTTCATTGTTTACAGTTTAAAAGTGCTTTTCCTCGCTATTTTCTTTAGTTCTTTTGCTAAAAGTGTTTTGCTGTGTTTTATACAACTACATTTTGCAGGACTGTTTATAACTGAGTTTCTTGGACTGGAAGAACTGCAGATTAATTTATAACCTCTTGCGTAAGAGTATATATATATATATATATATTTATATTTATTTATTGTACATTATGCATGCCACAAGTCGTCGTTACCGTAAGCCTAAAGGGCGACCATTGAAGAAAAAACTTGCAGCTGTCAGCAAAATTGAAAAACGATGGGCAGCTCATTCGGAAAATGACGTGACATTGAACAGTGAAGAGGTTTCTTCCAAAAATAAACAAACAATTTTTTCTTAAAGTTCTATAGTTGAAGCGAGTACTTCAATAAGTGCCAGTGTAAAGAAACTGAATGAAAGTTTATTACGAATGTCTGACTGTGGTGATAACCGAAATGATGATTCATATATTTTGATAAATCGTAAAATGTGGAATCCATTGCTATGTAATATAAAGTGTGACGAGTGCTCAACCAACTCTTTTCGAAAGGAATATATGGATATTCTACAAAACTTGAATTAGTTTGTAAAAACTGTGATAAAATATTTAGTACATCATTTTCAAGTGAGCGGGTAAAATGGTCAAATACTTTTGATGTGAATACGAAACTTGTCGAAGCATTTTTGAAAATAGGCAAAGGCCACGCCGCCTTAGAAGTGTTTTCCATGATTATGGGAATTCATGCTATGGACAAAAAGACATTTGCTAAATGTTTACACAGTTTGTCTGAAGAAAAGGGGAAACTAAAAGGTGATTTCCTTCAGTTTTCTCGAAATATTGTTCGAAATAAGCATAAAAAATTAATTAATATAAATAATGATGAGTGTATAGATATCACAGTGTCGTATGATGGCACATGGCAAAAACGTGGGCATACATCACTGTATGGAATAGGTATCGTGTCGTAGATGTCTTGACTGGGTTAGTTATCGACTACGAAATTCTGTCAAAATATTGTCCTGAATGTGTATGCGCGAAAAGAAATATGGATGCTGACAGTGCGGAATTTCATATATGGTTTGAAAGCCACAAACCAGAGTGTTCCAAAAATTTTTCTGGTTCGTCTAATGCTATGGAAATGAAAGCCGCAGAAATTTTATGGAAACGGTCCATCAGTACATGTAATATGCGATATGTTGGGATACTTTCTGATGGGGATGCGAAAACATATCAACATTTATTAACTCTGAATCTTTATGGTAATGACGTAAAAATTAGTAAAGAAGAATGTATCAATCATGTGGCAAAACGTTTAGGGGCAGGATTGCGCAATAAAGTTAAAGAGCTGCGCTCCAGAGGTATATGTATCGGTGGACAAAAAGAAGGTAATCTGAAGGAAACTACAATTTTAAAGTTAACAAACTATTACAGAAAGGCCATAAAAGATAACATACCGGATATAGACAAAATGAAATCTGCAATTTATGCAAGCTTACTACACTGTTCATCTAACTGATGTATCTCACCAAAACATTCGAAATGTCCTACCGGTACGTTGTCATGGTGTTTTTTATCAAAACATTTTTACCAGTTCTTCAGTAGCAAATGAAGAGCAGCCGAAAGCACATAAAGCCATGAAAACTAAAGTATCTGAAAGTGTTCTTTCTCAAATATTGCCAATTGGGTATCAAAGGCTAGCTAGCACAGAATTGCTGTCCAGATGCATTTCTGGTAAAACACAAAATGCTAATGAAAGTATCCCTAGTTTAATTTGGAACAATTGCCCTAAAGAAGTGTTTATTTCTGAAAAAAAAGGCTAGAAATGTCAGTATTGATCAACAATTAATGAATTTAACTTTGGTTGTGTAAATGCCATAAGCGTAGAACAGGAAGAAGTGAACTCGTTTTCCCTACTCATTGCAAAAAAAAGCGCGATCAGCGTCGCTTGAACCAAAAGTAAAAAGAGAAGTTTACCTGCATGGAAAAAACACAGAAATAGTAAAAAATATTGTAAAGTCACTAAAACGATAATGCAATTGTAAGCAAATGAAGGTAAAACATATATGGTGCGGGTGATTTTTTTTTAAAAATTTCATTGGGTATACGGCATAAATTGTTTTTACTTGTATAACTTCGAATCACCTAGCAATTTGTCATATGTTTATTTTTGTCATATTTAATATTATGAAATTAAAAATAGTTAAATCTTACAAAAATGTTATCGAATGTTTACAAATTTATATAATATATATTATTATATATATAACCTATATATATAATATATATATATATATAAGTTAATTTGCTGTTTCTCATGACCATGTATTAAAGGTAAGTTTGAAGGAAAACTTTAAATTCATTTTTTCTCAAAACAAATTTTTTCGCAATTTGTGTGTTTTGAAAATGCTCCATGCGTCTCATTTTTAGTTAAAAATGGATGATGATATTTGGAAGAAACTATATTGTTATATGTTACAGTAGATCTGTGTATGCATTTTTAGATATGAGGTTATTAAGAAGTTTAAACTTGTGAAAACCTTTAACAAAAGGTGAAATTTTTTCGAAAATTGGGTTTAAGTTCACAAAAATAGCCTTTAAAAAATTTCTTATCCATCATATTCAATAACGGATACACAAATACTTTTACCAAGCCTTTATAAGTAACATAAAGCAAACATTAGGAAAAAATATTAAAAATTGGAGCGCATGGAGCATTTTAAATTTTTAATTAAAATAATTAATTAATTGCTTTAAAAATTTTTAATTTAAAATAAATTGAAATTTTGAGCATATATTTTGTTTACTGATGCTATAAGATGTACATGTATAAAATTTCTTGTTGAAAAAATGAAAACTTAAAAAAATGATTTTTAAAGTCCACCGTCCCCTTAAATGTTATGCAAGATGTTGTTTCCCTTTGGTTATATGGAAATAATTTTAATCCATTCTCAGACCTCATCCAAAACTGTAAAACATCACAAAATTACAGAGAATATTAATACCACCATTATTGGAGATGCTAAGAATTAATTTATTTATGAGCAATTAAAATTATTTACATACTCTGTGTATTTACAATCTCGGTATTATTTAGCTTGGTTAATCAATCTTTTAAGTGTTTGGATGTGACAGATTCAGCTGATCATCACATTTTTGCACATCTGCCTGTGATCTTATGGGAAGTGCAGGTTTTAAGAAATTGTCTGAATGAAAATGGTCTCCCTGTACTTCCGAATGGTTCTGAAATAGTGTATGTCACTTTCATTGAACGGATCAGACACTCTCTTTCCTTAAGTATTAAGATGCTGCTGTTTGATTATGATCAGACCCTCTTCTAATTCTTCTTCTTTTCTCACTTCTAATTAAATAAATTGTTGCTTTGAAAAATGTGAAGTTACCAATCCTTCAGAAGGTCCTTTACAATTGCATTTGGCATTGACTTGGTATTCTCTTCCATCTCACTTAAAGAAACTCACCTCCTGTGCTTTCTCATGTTCTGATTAAAAAAGTGTTTGCTGTTCTCTTCATTAATAATATAATATTTAGAAATATTATATGTTCATTGTCTTTGTTATATTCAGACCATTTTTTTGTGTGATTAAAAGAAAACAAAGCAAGTTTAGCTTTTTTATTTAATGTGTGGTGAAATTAATGTGTAGCTTATAATGCAAAACTGAATTTGTTATGTAAGGTATTTTTTGACCCAGGCATTTGCTCATTAAATAAAGCATTCTTGTACATAGTTCAAACGTAAATATTCAACTGGTTTTAATATAATTGTATCATAGAATACTTTATATGGTCATATGAGAAATAAAGCCATTTTCTTTTTATAATGATTCATAATGTAATCACTGTTGAGTATGTCTTGTCTCTAGACTTAATGCTGCAGTATCATCCTTTGCTTCAAGCTTTGTATTGCACTATAGAAGGTTATAGAAGTTTTTATGTATCTATTTTTAATTAATGAACCTAATTAACTCTAATAATAATGCTTCTTATTTTAAACTTAAGGGCAGTTTATTAATTTTTCCATTGTAATGTAGTAATAGCAGAAATATTATTTATTTTTGTATAGTTACCTTCATTTGACCAGAGCCTTTTAAAGTCAAGTGGAATCGGTAAAGCACTGATGTACCTATACAAACATCCAAAAGAAACCAAAGAGAACAGAGAAAGGGCAGGGAGACTTATAACTGAATGGGCACGTCCTATTTTTAATGTAACTACAGATTACTCAGTATTATCAAAAGAGGAAAGAGAACAAAGAGATCATGACCATATTCCAAAGAAGCGTAAATTAAAGTTAGTATTTGGAATTCTATTAGTGATTGAACTGTGCTTGCAGTTAAAATTGATTTTCAGTTATTTAGAAATATGCATTTAAGTATATATGTATTTATTCTTTTTCCAAATGTTTCTGCTATTATAGTTTGGTATAATAACTGTTATTTATCAGGTCAACAAATCAAATTTTATTTAAAATTATTTACACTTGAAAAAAGATATAGCTCAAGTATATGTTAATGCAGCTGTTTTCAATCCCCCCCCCAAAGTATAAAATATGAAGTTTTAACAACCTGTTGTCTATAAATTTGTGTCATTTTTTAACTGATATATTTTATTATTTGTTTTAGTTTCAGCACATGCTTTTATATGTTTCATTAAATACATTTTTGAAAAACTCAGCTTTAGAAAGAAATACACATAGGTTTTGAAACAATATTCGGAGACTTAAATACTTTTATTTAAATTAGAGATCGGGACGCTCCACAAGAAGATGAAGCAGCACAAGAAAAGAAAGATATAGAGAAAGAGTTAACAGGAGAGCAAAAGTAAGTGCAAAATTTTGTATTGATAGTTATTCCATCAAAAGGAATTTAATAGAAATTCTTTTATTGTTTTATATCATTTGAATGACTGAAAATGCCCTATGATATAGTGTACCATCATAAAATTTAAAATTAAGCAGAAGACCAAACTTAGATTGATATTTTAGCTCCTCAAAAAGAGAGATTTATGTGTTATTGCTCTCAAAATCTGGAAAATTTTATTCAAAATCCACATCAATGGAAGACTTTTTTTTTTTTTTTTTTTTTTTTTCATGATTTCAAACCTTCTAAAATAGCTTTAAATGTGGCATTACTTTCATCATTCAGTTTAAAAAAGAAAAATTAGTAATATTTTATGCGTTTATTATGACTGTGTTTGGTGTAGCATTCAGGATGTTGTTTTAGGCATCTTTATTCAAGGAATTTGAATCATTGATTACCTTTTAAAAACTTTAATTTTGAAGTTAAAAAATACAAAATGATTAGGAGTTTATGAATTATAGTGAGTTATTTTTAAGGTAACAGCTCACATTTCCAGATGGTTTTAATTTCTTCTGTAGAGGTAGTCTTCTTAGCTCAAAGCTGATTTTATTTATGTTATGAGAAATACTTGTCAGTTTTCCATGAGCAGGTTCATTTTAAATGCAAAAAGTACTGAGTTTTGTATGATTTCCTTTAGTTGCATGACTATATCAGGATAATAATCTTGTTATATGTATTTCAACACATCCTCTGTTGCTGTCTGTACAGCAGCAACAGGGCAATTTGTAAGATCACATAATTTGCAAGCAGATGTAGCATATCTAGGCATAGGTGACATAAAGTCATTTTCTTAAGTGCAATAGGCCTACCAGCGGCCAAGCGGTAAAGTCGCATAACACTGGTGGTTCAGTATCAGCTAAGAATCCAGCGAATGGGCTGACTGCGTGGGTGTTTTTGTATTTCCTCCCATGTGTACCATGTATATGAGTCAGTTTCCCTTAGAAAGTCCTGCATAAAGATATCCCTCCCCTTAGGCAAATAGTCCTCGAGGCTTTGCCTTAATCACACAAACCAAACCACTACTAAGTGTAGCATCATGGAAAAAAAATCTGTGTCACAAAATGCAGTGATATAAGAAGCTAGTTAGGAGTATCAGGTCATTTGGTTTACTGAAGACTGAACAAATGGTAAGGCAAATGTCATTAATAAAACAATGTAATTAATAAAACTAGTGATAAAGCTTTTAATCGTTTCTGTATTCATTGCCAAATTTTGAGACAAGTTGATACAATACCTCTTCCAAGATACCAATTTGTTTTTGTTTCTTAAAACATTAAAAAAAGTCACTTCAGATGAAAATTAAAGCTGAAGCAAAAACTGCTGATGAGTCTGTTTCCTAATACAATATAATGTTTAATTTATTCACACATTTAATGTGTATAACTTTAGTAAAAGTACAGCAAAAAATTATGGAATCAAAACTATAATATAAATTATCTATATTCAAATTCATTATTTATAATTAAAAATTAACATCTAATTTTAAGAAAGGAAATTTGTTCTCAAAATCAGATGTGTAAACTGCTAAATTGTAATTTGAAAATATCTTAAATATTATATAGCATTTTAACAAAATGCTACTTCTGTACATGTCAAAGGTATACAAGACTGGAGAGAAAGAGCATCAGTTCTCAGTTTTAGTTCAGTGGTGAGTTGGTTGTATTGAGAGATCTCTGTGTGAGCTTCACTTCGTAAATGCACTTTGTATTTCATTATGTTTAACATTCTTAGCAGTTTGAAGTGGTAACTACTGATTGTACTCTTTTATACTGAGAAGAGCTGCATGAGAACTTTTATGAAAAGTTCAAGAACTGTTAAGTGTTTTTTTTGGGGGGGGAATAAATTTTATCAAGCTATCGTCTTGGTATCAGGAGTGGAGTTGAATGCTGGTGACAAGAATGATGGAGGAGCAACTAAGACAGCTGGTGATGGCCTTTGCTGCATTAAAAGAAAAGATGGAAAGGGCCATCAACTCCATTAAACAAGAAATGAAAACAGTTCAAGGGAAGATGGAAGTAGATCGAGAAGAGATGAAAGTGGACCAAGAAGAGATGAAAGCAAGCCAAGAATAGGTGAAAGGGGCATCAGGTTAGTTCAAGAAAAGATTGAAATAGGTCAAGAGGAAATGAAAAAAAGAAATTACTCCCATGATAGAAAACAAATTCTATCATGGGAGTTAAATTTAAAATTAAGTTATGGAATGCATGCAGAATTGACACCTTGAAAATAAAGTTGGAGAAATTCAAAAAAGAGCTGCAAAACAACAAATCGGAAAAAATGTTTCTGCTGTAGAATAACAAGTTGACAGTAGAGATTTTGCTGCTCTTGCCAAGGAAGTTGTTAGCTTAAAGAAATCCATAATCACAGCAAGAAACAATTTTGACAGCTTTATATTTTTACCTATGTTATCCTGGCCCTCTGTAAAGTTATCCATGTATGATGGAAAGACCTCCTGAGAAATGTGCAAAACTCGCTTCTCTATAGGGGCTGATGCAAATGGATGCTTCTGGGAAAGCAGATGCAGTGGATATCCTTTAAACTTTGTTCGAAAACCAGAGGCTGGACTTCAAAGCTCTATTCAGTCCATCGGAGCTGCACTTTGGCAAGAAGTGTGTAAAAGATTAGAACAGACTCCCCAGCAAGGTGGGAAAAAAATTAGGGGCCCATCTCACAGAGTGGAGGTTGCCAGATATTGAGAAGCCCCATTTTAAAGTATTTCAGATTTCTGCATTGAGTGGGAGCAGTAATCTACTCTTCATGAGATACCTAAATGGAGTTCCTTGCAATTTGACCACTGATACAGGAGCCAATTTTACCATTGTCCGAAAAGATTTGGCTCAGCAACTGGAAGGTAAACTCATTTTGATGCTGCGATATGTTTTGCTCCAGACTGTGTTTGATGATAAAATCAAAATCAGTGCAAGGATAAACGTTGCCATCACATTTGGAAATGGCCCCTGTCATCATACGGCATATGTGACAGATATTACAGACCCTTGCATACGTGGATTAGACTTCCTGAGGAAATACAAATTTTTCTTCGATTTTAAAAATGACGAACTGCATCCTGCTTCTGAGGACGTAACCCTTTTTGAAATTAAAGATGAAGGAATTAAATCCATCCACCAAATAATAGCTGGAGATGAATAAGAACAGAATTTTTACTACCTGGATCCACAGTTGAAAAGAGAGATTTCCGTTGCGGCATAATGGAATATCATAGGACCTAAGCAGCCCAAAAGGAGTACTAATGGCTTTGACATTTGTTGACCTGTCGAGGACCATCATCTTGGTGAAAGTTGCAGATGTAAGTGATACGGTAAAAGTCATTAGGAAAGTTGAAGTGTTTGCAGCACGTAGTCCAGTAAGCTGCATTAAAAGAACCAGTAGTCTTTCAGTCTCTATGTCTTCTGAGAACCTAACAGTGGAATTATTGCAGAATATGTAGCTAAGCAATGAAGAAAGGAGTGCTGCAGAGTGTGTCATTCAAGAATTTGAAGATGTTTTCTCCTGCACATTTTCGAATGTTGATTGAACCAGTTTGGCACAGCATAGAATTGATATGGGAGATCTTCCACCAGCCAAGCAAAATCCAAGTTGTCTGCCAATTGTTAAACAGAACGAGGTAGGAAAATTTCTAAAGAACAAGCAGGAAAGCAAAACATTATTGAGCCTTCAGGAAATCTTTAGGCTTCTTCCATCGTACTGGTCAGAAAGAAGAATTGCTATATTTTGTGTTGACTAATCACCAGGGTTGAACAACATCATGAAGAAAGATAGCTGTGCTTTTCCTAGAATTGACAACATTCCGAACATTCCATTGGGAAGCAAGTGGTTTTTGATGCTTGGTGTGGACTCTTGATGTGACACTTGATGTGGCTAGAGTGGATAGTTGCAGGTAGAGATACACCCTGATGACCAAGAAAAGATGGCATTTATTATCAGACAAGTTCATGCTTGTAGCTGATGCATTATGTAATGAGGGTGATGCATTTAGTAATGTGCTGCCACATTTGAATGCCTCATGGAGACCGTGCTGAGAAGTTTTGCCTACGAAGCCTGTCTGATATACCTGGATGATGTCATGGTCAGGGAAAAACTTTTCAAGAACATTTATAAAATATTAGGAATGTGCTTCAAAATTTGAAGGAAACTAATATACATGTTATTATGAATTTTGTATTTAGTTAGATATTTTTAGTAGAATTCTTATTGAAATTGTTTTATTTCCCTTGCAATGCAGCGTGTGACAAATTTTAAGAGAAAGCTACGCCGGAAAAGTAAAAATACAAGAGCATGTACATTTAACATTAAATAAAAGTTTATCTCTGTAATTGATATTTAATTTGAATTAATGTAATTGACTGCTATGTTAGCTGTAACCATAATTCTACTCTTTTTGCTTTCCATAAATTGCTAGAATTCTCTCCCATGGCTGATTTAAAGAGCTGTTAAAAGCCAGAGAGAGTTTCATCTCAGTTGTTTACTTAGCTGCTGTAATTTTTTTATTGATCGAATTAGCTTTCTCTGCACTGTGAATTGCATTATATTTAACTAGTAGTTTAAAGTATAGCTACTGATTACATATCGTGACACTGTACGAATATCTCTGAGGAAAAGTCCCAGCTTTGTTATATTTCTTGTGATAAGAATAAATTTTATTAACCTTTTATCGGTCTTGTGCATTCAGTGTATTACGAACCGGTACACACGCAACAATACAGTTAATTTATGATAAATGTAAATTATTCAGGCAGAAAGTTTCTTCCTTCAACATGTCATCTCTGCCGAAGATGTGTTTGAATGGATTTAGAAAAAATGTTGGCAGTTAAAGATTGGAGACACATCAAAAGTTTTTATGAGCTGAGAAGTTTTGTGAAAACGTCTGTGAAGGATTTTTCTTCCATTGTAAGACCCCTTTGCAATCTTAACAGCAAACAAATGTTCTTGTGGGCAAAAGAACATGATGCATTTAACAAGATGAAGGAGGCTTTAACATCTGCGACAATCCTGACATATCTCTAGCTTGACAAACTAATTTTTGACATGGATGGAAGCATTGAGAGTAACTGTCCTGTTTGGTGCCAAGAAATAACAGTAAAAAAAATGTCTTATACTGGAGCAAGTGTCTATCTAAACCAGACAGAACTTACTGTGTCACCAGAAAAGAGTTGCTCGCCGTAGTTAAAGCAATAGAACATTTTCACTATTATCTCTATGGTAGAAAATTTCTGTTCCACATGGGTCATGCGTTGTTTAGCCTGCTCTTAAGTTTCAAGAACCCTAAAGTCTAAATTTGCCAGATGAATACAGAGACTCCAGGATTCCAGGAAGAAGACTCCAGGATTGGACCATGACGTTACTATCCGCCATTGGAAAGCGTCACCACATGCAAATGCTGATACTTTATCTAGAAGACGATGCCCGGAAAGTTGATGGTATAGTTCCAGGGTCAAAGAAAAATACAAGCTGTTAATCCTTTTGTATTTCAAGTTACAAATTTAAAATCATCTGATGCAGACCCATGGAATTATAAAGAATTCAGGAAAGACCAATTTGAAGACGGCAACTTATAATAATCCATAATTTACGTAATGGAGTCTTCAAATAGGAAACATACCTAGCAGGACACTTTGACTTATTACAGTCCCATGATGAAACAATATTGGACTCTCTGGGAATCACTTCATATTTAAAATGGAGTCCTATACCGTAAGTTTGAATCATATGATGGAATGGCTTTTTCATGGCAGCTGGTAATTCTAAGATCCTGGATATCTTTAAAGAACTATGTAGCAGTTTGGCAGGAAGCCTCTTCAAAATAATGAAGACTTTGCCTAGAATTCGAGAGTGCTTCTGTTGGAGTAAAGCAAGGACTGACATGCAAAAGTGGTGGCAGTCTTAACAATGCCTGTGTGAGTCAGAAATAACCAAAGAAACATAGCTGAGTGAAGCTGCAATGTTACAGTGTAGGAGTGCTTTTGAATGCATTCCTTTTGATACCCTAGGACCTCTGCCACAATCTGCTAATGAAAACAAATACATCCTTGTTGTCACTGATTACTTTACAAAATGAACTGAAGTGTATGTACCTATGATTAAGAGGTTGTTACAGTAACAGAGGTAACGATTAAGCATTGTATTTCCAGGATTGGAATGCCTCTTCATTTACATTCTGATCAAGGAAGAAATTTTATCTTAATGGCAATTAAATAACTCGGTAAATTACTCGTCATTAAAAAACCACAAACGAACACAAACAAAACAACATGAAATGGAAGATGGTCCTCACCCCTTTGAAGAGGTATTAGCATAAAAGCCAAGAGGCTGAATAAAATTTGGAATCCATTAAATTTTGAATAAAATTAGATCGAATTAAAGTCTAAATGCTAGTACCTCTGTCTGGAGAGATTTCTTGACCTCACCTAACTCTTATCTAAGTGACTATAAAAACATTACATTAAATTTAAGCAAATACAAATGTGTAAAACAAACAATATAACAAAAAATGCAAAGTACACAGGTAATAGAAATACAATCGTAAATAGCAAGTTAAAAAATTTGAAAAGATAAAAGACTTTATACATTTTTCAAAAACTGAATAAACATAGATTTCAAATAGTTAGTATGAAACATACAATTGTGCTTTGTTATTATAAACGTAATTCGTAAAGTTAATCCGTCAACATCCTTTATCATTTTTTTAAAAGAGTTGGAAAATGTCCTTGTTAAGGAAGCACTTTCAAATAGGTGAAAGTTCTTGACATTCTATCAAAACATAAAAAGCATCTGCTATTCAAAGTACACATATGCATTTAACATTCATCAATTTAGACATATTCAAGTAGGATGGAAAGGCTTCGTGTCTGGTGAAAATTTGTGTCAGAAAGAAGTCTTACTGTCTTGACTTTAGGGAGTAATGTGTGAGTGTAATGACTAATTTCAATAACATCCCATTGTCTAGTAAAGCTTCTTGTTTTCAACAAAACCCATCACACTAGTAAAGCTTCTTGTTTTCAACTCTTAAAGCTTCTTGTTTTAAACTCTTTTTGACATAACTGATGGTTTATCTTGATGTTCAGTGGAAAGCAATGGGTAATAACCTGCTTTTTAGCTTTTTATCAGTTAATTCATGTCCTTGAAAACCATACTTAGAAGAGTTGCACAAGTACTTTTAAGAAAAGTTCTAGAACTTTCTTTTGGGGAAAAAAAAATTATATCAATTTATCACCAGTTCTGTGTGCATTCAGTCCATTAGAAACAGATATGCACAAATATAAGTTTAAGGGATTAAAGTGACTTTGGCAAGTTACTAATATCAAAAAGTTGATTAAGATATTTTGTTGTATTTTATGCTTCTAACTAATAAAGTTTCTTATCACCTAATTAGAGGTTTAATTACATTGAAGGCAATTTTTGTGTGGAAACAATAAAATAAAAAATATCTGATTTAGATTTATAAAAATCCAATTTTAAATTGAAAAAGTTAAATGTTTTGATTAAAATAAACAGCGGTTTTTTACACCTTTCTCCAAACCCTCATGTGTTTTAAGGATCCTTTTTATTAATATTTCTTATGTTGTTGTTGTATGCTTTATTTTTTCTTATTATTTATGAGCTGTGATTTTGAAATTTTAAATACTTATAATTTTGCAGAAGTTAGGGTACTAACTTTGTTCTGAATTTTGTTAGATCTGTTCGGCCGGGGGATAAAGGATGGATAGCTCGAGCCCGTGTTCCTATGCCTTCAACTAAGGACTATGTTAATAGACCTAAATGGAACATTGATGTTGAATTCTCCAAAGTAATTTTCCAGTTAATTTCAAAAGTTTCAATTAATTTTTGATTATTGTGTTAGTTTTTCTGATGCTCCAGAGAAGATTTTCATTTATTCTCACTAAAATATTCGGTTATGTGTACTTAAAGATTTTTGAACTTTATAGATGTGTAGACATAATAATACTGTACACATAATATTGTTTTATTTTTAATCATTTTTATATATGTATATCATGTTGAGACTGTTTATTTTGTATTGAGATATGAAATTCAAACTCGCATTGTTACTTTCATTCAAATCTTTCAAGTCCTAATCTTAAAAACCATTACGATTTTAATTTAAAATTTTGGAATTTTCAGTAACAGTTTTTGTCTAGAGAAGAACAAAATTGTAGTTTCACTTGACCTGTATCTCCAGTGTTACCTCATAATGATCTTCGAGTACCAGAGAGAATTTAACATTCTGTGTTCAATATTTATTTTTGTTAAAATAATCCTCTTTCTATACTAAATGTGTAGTGAGAGCTACTTATGTGAATAATTTGATTATGTGAGTAATCTTTTAGTCCCCTATGTGAGTAACTTGATTGAAAAAGATTCATAAAAAATGTAAACAATTTTAATTATTATGTATATTGTTTTCATCTATGAATTTACATTGGGAAAATACCGTATTTATGCGAGTCTAATGCGCCATCGAATCTAATGCGCATCCCCATTTTAAAACTTTAAATAATAAAAAAATTGTTTGTCGGCGAATGTAATGCGCATCAATGATATGAGGAATTTATTGAATCTTATTTTATACAACAGTGGATTTGTATATAAACTATCAATTAATGGTATGATAATTTTATTTAAATTTATATACCATATTTTATACAACAATGGATTTATACTTAAAGTAGTAGAACATAGAATTAACCTATTAGTGGGCAATTGTTATGTGAAACAATCACTGTTTAATTAGCACTACCGTATATACGGTACCTATCGTAAAATATGAACATGAAATAAATCGTAACATTTCTATCTAGCTAACAGTTTTTCTACAATTAGTGATTAATAGTAAAACGTCTTTATTCACTGTTTTCATCACTGGAATCCTCACAGCTCTTTTCGTCAGACGCAGATTCATTTCTTCTTCTTTTTCCTCATCATCATCATCATCGTCATCCTCGGCGTTCTAGAGCTCGTCATCTTCACTGCCATTCAATGAATTTGAAATGCAGCATTTCTTGAAAGATTCCACAATCTTTGGTGCTTCGATGCTTTTCCAGGCAACAGAAATTCAGTGCAACAATGTGCGGTGCAGCACGCTTAATTTTTCCTCTCGGGGTCAATTCGCGGTCATCGGCGAACTTTGCACTCGAATCTAATGCGCACCCCAATTTTGAATACTACATTTGGCCAAAAACGATGCGCATTAGATTCGCGTAAATACGGTAAGTTTCAAGTTTATAAAAAAAATTAATTATGTGCATCATTTACCAGATTTAGTTTGTATCTTTTTAATACAGATATACTTTTAAATATGACAGTATTCGTACAGTCCTTGAAAGTCTTAATTTCAGCCAAAATCAACAAAAGGTCCTTAATTTTAACCATCTGAAATTTCTGTCTGTTTTTTATGACTGTCATTTTGAGTGGAAATTAGCATTTTTGAAGAAATAACTTTTGGCAATTCACTGACAAATATGTATTTGATGTGTTATTGTGTGAACTTTTTCCTACTTCTAATATAATGGTGCAATAGTCAAGGTTCTCGAAAAGAAGTGAAATATAAGCATTTTGAATTTATTTCTTTTTGCTAATGAAAAGCTCATAAAGAACTCTCTTTTGGAGGTGTTAATCCTTTATTAAATGGCTCTAATTTTGATGACTTATCAATATTAAAAATTTTTAATTCAGAGATTTGTGAAATTTTTGAATATTTTTTTAAGCAGTATAACATTGATAAATTTCATTAAAATATTGATAATATATTAACATTATACTTAAGAAATAACATTAAAATTTTTAAAAAATTTATTTTTCTCTTGTATATTACAAAGTGACATTACTTTCTATTTTGGTGACTTATTATTTGGTGACTTAACCATTAGAATGTTTTGGGTCTGAAAAATAAACAAAATAGTAAATTATAAGTAACACATGGTTTCTGTAACAATTCTTTTAAAAAGCAAAACAGCTATTGTAATTATTTTGAAATGTCTTCTTTTATATTTTTTCATGGTGAGAGTTTTCTCCCATGTAAATATCTCAAAATATTGAGAATTTTCAAGATGTATGTCACTTTTCTGTATAAAAATACATTTTAAAAATACATTTTACGCTTTTCTTCTTTGAATTTTCTTTTGAAAAACATTGGCATTTTGCTGTTGTAGAGCTGGTAGGGATAATTTTTCTTTTAGATTTTAGACATTGCATCTCAGAAGGTTTAGAAGGATTAAGACAAGATTTATAGACCTATGATTCCAAAAAAATGTGACAAAATGAAAAATGTCTTCATGGTATAGCACATAATGGATATATGTTATTAGAAGTTGGTTTGCGATGAATTCTTGGAAAAAACAATGAAAACAAAATTATTTAAATTTTCTGCTACTGATCCTAGAAGTCTATCTCTTAACATGTTTATCTTCCCTTTATTTTCTCTTCTCTTCACCAGACAGAAGCATGAAAAATATAAAAAATGTTTTTAATCTTGTCACATTAACAGGCATTTGCAGAAAGGAATTTTTCTAGTAATAAAGAAATTGAAAACTGGTAATTTAAGATTCATTTTATATGTCTCAATGCATCATACAGTGGGCTAGTGGTAGGCATTTTCCCACCTGATGTAATTTCTGTGGGTCCTAAATTTTGCTTTGTTGTATGCCTCCCTAAAACTTTTGCTGCCTCTAAATTGTAGCTTCTTACTTGACTAAATTCTAAAAATTCTGCTACACCAGCTGTTGTACTAGACCTGACCATATATCATTTCATATTTATTCTCAATTTTCATATTACTAAAGAAATAAAATTAGCAGTTTCTTCTATACATTCTAATACATGAAGTTTTTAAGAATAACAGAAATCCTTAGTTAAATTTTTAAAAAAATCTAAAATGGAGAGGAAACTTGATGGAAGAACTGAATACATGAAGGCAAAGAAAATTATTATTCAAAGTTATATTGTTGAGACATTAATAAGAGATAAAGCAAAAACTAGTGGAAACATTGGTTTACTTACTGAAACAAGTTTTTTTTTTTTTTTTTTTTTTTTTTTTTTGAAAATAGATGATTAAAAAGAAGGAAATTAATATGAATTAGCCAAATTGTCTGGGAAGTTTTCAAATTAAAAAGATGGAAATATTTTTTTGTGTTGTTACTAGAAAACATAAATGTTTTGTATTTGTCATGTATAGTTATCTTAGGATCATTTAAATCAATGTCATAAATTATATGTGTTTTAAACTGTAAAATGTTTGTAGATTGTGATTATATTAGTACTTTTTTAACAAATATTTAAATAAATAAATAAAATTTAAAATGGGCCACACCACCTAAAAATACTGCAGACCTACTTTTTTTTATCCAAAATGAGTTACTAGCTGTCCTAAATTACGCGAGAATTTCCATATTCCTGCAAAATCATCAAGCTATTCATTTCCTATTTTTATAAAATCCAGGAGCTTATATAAATTTGGAATGTTCTTACTCATGTTTAACCTGATGTAAAATATTACAATCTTTATGACAGATTTTATTCTTTTACAGACATAATAATAATAAAAAAAATTCCAGTGGTGGTAACACTGTTTAGAAGTTGAGTCTCTGATGATTGAAAAAAGGAGAAATTTTAAACAGGTCAGCATTCCCCCCCTCCCAAATCTTCATTTGGGGGGGGGTTGTGTTGCTAGCTGTATCAGCATCCAAAGCTGACCTAGAGTGCACTTTTTTTCCCTTTCTTTTTGGATGAATAAAAAGTACTATGGTTACTTAAACCATTGTAATGTAGATTTTTAAAAAGCTCTTATAAATCAATGTTTTAAAGACACAGCCATAGTATTTGTGGAATATATAAAGAATAATCCCAAACTTCAGGCTGCTGTCAAATTTAAATAAAGATAGCTTTTATTAAGAAATTATGTGCCAGCCTAATCAGTATGATGGTTATTGGTGTTGACCTGCAGTTATTAGAAATACTGGCTTAAAATATAAAATGTTTTCTCCTAAAACTTATAGGGACTAGGCTAAATAGTGCTCATGTTGACATGCTTCATTATTGAACTAAAATCAGAATGGTTTTTGTATAAAAATCACAAAATTTATCCTACAATTATCTTTCTGGATCAGCTAATCCACAGCTTCAGTTACTTTTCAAATAACTAATGATATTGAAATTCTACCAACTGATTATATTGAATTGATATGTGATTATTAAGGAATTTATTATAGCATGGGGAAAAAAGAAAACAGTCATGGAGTAGTAAAATTTTGAGAATATTTCGTGGTTTGAGAGTTACACCTTGAAAAGTTTCCCATAAGCTTAAAAAGATAGGAGCTGCCCTTAAATCTGTTCTGTGTGATCTTCTGCACCAATATTAAAACAGAGCTGTGCAAAAGTTCAGCTGTCATCTATGATCTGTTGAAGGCTTGGCTGACGATAGGCACTTTTCCTGTTGGTCGTAATTAATTCACATACTTGATTTGAATAGGTATATCAGAATTAGAAAGATAAACTACAAAAACATAAGAACTTCTGTAACCATTCTGTGGTTATTTATTAGTTATTAAATTTATTTGATGCTGTGGAATGATTTTGAGTTTTTTTTTTTTTTTTTTTTATTCATTCATAATAATTGCCAACATTATATCAAAGTGTGTCTTATTTTAACTAAAAATAAAATTTGGCAATACTAGTTGAAGTCTTTTATTTGATTTTATATGGTGTAGAGGGGGTCTACTTCCTTTCTTCACAGGTTTTTAACTGTCATGACCGAGATACTCGAAAATGTCAACCCGAGTACAGTCAAAAGTCGTTAATCCGGACTCGTCGGGACTTCGGCGATTCCGGATTATAGATCATCAGTTTAAATCTTGTAAGATGGCATGCAGGAATTCTAAAATTAAAAATATGAAACCGTAATTTATGAAATAAAGAACAATTATGATCTAAAGGGTATCAAAATTTACAAAAAAAATAAAAAAAAAAAATGTTTAATATTTATTTGTTTACTTTATTAAACATTTCTTTCAATGTAAGTTGTTTAAGTTGCTTCATTTTATGTGATAATACTTTCTCTTTATTTCTATAAACAGACATACTTTCTTTGTTCAGTTACAAAGTTCCGCTGTTCAAGTCCCGTAATTGCTGTGCCGAGAATACCGACTAACTTGTCAATCGAAATTTTTTCGTTTTCACTAACCTCTCTGTCACCCTTCTTCATGTCTTTATCCATTTTTTTTGCAGCAATTCCACTTTTTGTTTGATGGACATCGAAACATACTTTTGTTTTGTAGATCCTTTGGGAGCTCCAGCATCGGAAATTCTATTTGACATAATCGAAAGTTCAAGTTTACTTTTATCAAATTGCTCGTACAGTCTGCGAAAAATAATAAGCCGCATCCAACTCAAAGATTAAGGAACAACGCAATCATCAACATTAACTGAAATAGATAATTAGATAATTTTAGCTTATTCCGTCCGTTATACATTAAACGCGCACGCGAAAACATATTCTGCACTTGCGCACACGCATATGCACAGTCGTAAAGGTCTTACGTGCACGTGTAAACGGCTATGTGCATGTGCTTAGCGGCGCATGCGCAGAAAGTTTTTAGCTTTCATTCCAGATTCTAGATCATTCCGGATTATGGGTGTCCGAATTAATGACGTTTGACTGTATTACTTGGGGTAATTTTTTTTGAGTGCATCGTATTGTTATACCCGAATATATATCGGGAGACGTTTATTTCGGCTTCATCTCCTTGTCAAACCCGACTGTATTTCAGGAAAAGTTAATGTGCGCTCAGTTCAATAGATGACAGCACTTTACTGAAGATTTCAAAGGTTATAAGTTCTTTGGTTCAAAGTGCATGGGATCTTTTTGTTGTAAAATGGCATCCAGTTCTTTGAAACGTTATATAGATGATTTAGATTCTTCAACCGAAGATGAAGGATGTGTGTTTGATGAGCAGTATTCATTATGCTTCCATGGTCAGCCTCAAAAATAATAAAAAAAAAAAAAAAAAAAAAATGGGAGATACTCAAGCCAAAGATTGTTTCTAATTACAGTCTAACTATGGGTGGTGCAGATCGCTGTGATTAGGAAATATCCTTTCATCCAACAATCTGAAAACGTCAGAAAAATATTATAAAAAGATATTTTTACATTTACTAGACAAGGTACTCTGAAACTCATATTTACTCTATAAAAATGTAGTTGGGAAACGTATTACATTTTTAGAATTTCGAATCCAAGTCATAGAAGAGCTTTTACATAAATATGATGATGCAGCTTCTGGACAAAAGAATGTTGGCAGACCACCTACAATAGATAACCCTGCCCGTCTTACTGAACGACATTCTATATCCCATATTCCTGCTACTCCTGCAAAACGTGAGCCTACAAGACAGTGCAAAGTGTGTTGTTTGAAAAAGGATAAAAATGGGGAAAAGATAAGGAAGGAATCACGATTCTGGTGTAGTGATTGTGGAGTTGGTTTGTGCTTGGAAAAGTGTTTCCAGTTGTACCACACAAGACTTAATTACTGAACTACTAATAGGTATTCACTTATATTTATTTATTTTTTTAGAAAATAATTAATTTTTTTCATTTTAGAAAATAATGCTCCACTAGAAGCGAACTTTACAACTGCCATGTTGAGTGGCAGCCGCCTCAAGCAAATATGCAGTGGCTACAAAACTTCATGTACTTCAAAATATCAATTTTTAACTACATAAGTATATTTTATTTTGTACTAAACATTTGATTTTTGCAATTAAAAATTTTGACAATTTGTGTACCCAAATCATCAACATAACTTGACAGTTAAAGGGTTAATAAAGTAGCAGCAACATTCTCAAAAAGGAGATCATCAAATGTGCAGGTAGTGGGTAAAGGGAGCCAGTGCTGACATGCATGGAATATTTAAGCAGGGGTTTTGTGTTATGCATAGTTGATATAAATAGTGTGGCATATATTGCTTATTGGGAGGGGGAAAAAAAAAACTGTGACTGGGGCAAAAAAATCCTGGCAGCCTGTGCCAAATAAAATATAGGAATGTCATCAAGATCTCTTACTAAGTCTGTGGCAGTACTGTGTTACCATATTGGTGATTATATTGAAGAGATGTAGTAGACTTTTACATCTAAATTCAATAAAATATTTGTATTACCTGTGTTACCATACTTTACTTATAGCCCTTGTACAATCAACAGAATTGTGCTTGTATTTAGTGCAGTTCATTTTACAAAATTTTTTTTGGTGAATTTTATATTCAGGTTTATGCTGCATAAAAGTTTGTAACAACAGTGCTAATATAAAAGTCCTTCAGTGTTTTCTAATCTGTTTTATCTATTTCCAGGGTCCTTCAAAGAAACCTTTGAACAGACTAGAAAAGCACCTGAGGTTAATGCAAGAAAAGAAAAGATTGAGCAAAGGACAAAGAGCAATTACAATTAGTATTGAAGGCCGAAAAATGGCAATTTAATAAATAATATATATATTTTTTGTTTTGTAAAATGTGTTGTATAATATCTGGATGTTAAATGCTTGGTAATAAAATTTTTGTATAATATGTTGTATATCATAATTTATTTTAGATAAATAAACTCTTCTCTATTGACAATAAAATTTAGTGTTACTTTAAAGCAAATGAAGAATTTTAATAGTATGATCAGTTCCTGATTTACCAATTAATTCTGAGAACAATATTGACAACTAACTCAAAATTGTGGTAATCCAAGGGGAAAATTGAAGACACAGAAAAGTATGATTTGTAGTAAAATTAAAACAAAAATACTATTAACAATTTACCTATATTTTTTGGGACCTAAATCTAAAGTTCATTTGATTATGTAAATTAAGTCAGTATTTGAAGCAAAAAATAAAATTTCTTTAAATAACAAAGGAAGAATAAATGTTATTAGAAACTTAATTATAAATGGCAATAACAAACAGTATGTATAAGAAAACTTGACATATAAATGGCAATAATAAACAGTATTTATGAGAAAACTTGAATAATGCCAAGTTTCAACTTGCATAAAAAGTCAGTTTTTTCCTTTGTTTTTGTTTTCTATTGTACAATGTTTATATATTTTGGGTGCAGTCAAATTAAGTACTGCTGTGAATAAAAACAATTCCTAAATCCTATAACATCTTGCTATCACCACTCTTCACTTTCATTTTGGTTTTTTGTATTTTCTGTTGAGAGTTTGCTTTATGCTTATGGTTTGTGATAGCAATTTTTCCATCATTCTGCGATAAACAAACTTAATTTGTTAGAAGGGCTCTCAATTTATCTCTTGTTAATTAGAAGTTGACTAATTAACAGTTAAAGGATATTTGCATGAGCTGATGGGGGTAGAAAAAATATTCATTCTTCTAATAATTTCTGTAAATACAGAAATTAATAAAAGATATTGAAGTGGTTGATGAATGATTTAAATAAGGCTCATAATCTCATTATAATCATTTAAATAAGTAAATATTATCAAATGTCAAAATATTTAATAAGATTTGTTTAGCTTGATTTTTCAGGGGGGGGAGCTAATGCAAATACTGAGAGAATTCTGTGTAACAATTTTTAAAGTTATCATTGTTTTCTTTCCAGATTTCCAAAATAAAGTTTATTTTAATTTTAAAAAATATTTTGGAACTTTTTGCACATTAGAGCTGTTGTTTCACTTAAAGTTGTCAAACAGGATTTGGTGATAAATTCCTTTTTTAATGTAAAATTTAAAATGTGCCTACCTCATATAGCATTCAGTTTTATAGTGTGACGTAGCAAAATTTAACATCTCATTTTATTCAAGAATTGTTTGCCGGATTACTGTATATTCTCGAGTGTAATTTCTATATTGTATAAAAATGCTTTGAAATTTCATTAAAGAGGTCATCGTAGGAAACAAGAATTGAGAAAAATCTTGTTTGGTGCAAAATGAATACATTATAATATTTTGAGTTTTCCTTTCAAAAAATCATCAATATGATTTCTAATGGTGATAAATAAAAAGTTTTCTCTGTAAACATTTTAGAAAATTAAATATTATCGCTTAAAAAGTCTGCATGTATTTTGTTGTTAGATTCTACAACATCTTCAGCATGCCTTTTTTTCTTTTAATCTTCCTTTATGAACTGAACTGAACATACTGAATGTCTCCTTGTAAAGGAGTAGTATATTTTTGGTGGGCTTTGATTTGATTCAATATTTAATTTTTAGTTTTCAAGCACCCATTTCAGCACTAATGTTTTTCTAATATGTATTCTAAAATCTGTTTATGTATTGAATAGTTTTGAATACTTTTCCTTGCATACTTATTTAATAAACTTGCAGTCATACAGCAGCATTAACTAACATATTAATTACATACAGTCTGTTGCTGTTGTTTTAAATACTGTTGGAAAAATTTAAAGTTTACCATAAAAGAAAGACTAGAAAATTGCATTGTGAAAACGTCAGATTACGGTCTAATATTTTGAAGTATAATATTATCTTATGTTAATGACAGCAAAGTTATAAATCTATTGTTAAATAATAAAGAATCTATATATGTATGTCTTTTACTTTGTAAAAAAACAGTGGCAGCTAGAGCCACCATGTTTTGAACACGCAGTCCTCCATTTTAACATGCACCTCAAAGCCGAAATTTTATTTATTTCATATTTTTTACTAATATAATGAATTTTTGATGAACAAACATAATAGTTTAAATGTGAGCAGTGACAATACTGCTGAAAATAAAACATTTTTTCCTTCTAGGCATTATACAAATTCCATTCAGCAAAATAAAATACCTTTCACATTTAATAAACAAACTGCTGTGTTTGAATGAAATACTTTTATCTTCCGTTTTCCAATGTGTTGCCATTTTAAAAAGCATAAGATATTTAGCTTTTGAATTTATCTGTTATGAATGAACAAGTTATTAAAAGGCAATAAATAGTGTTCTTAAGATTAGTTTTTGCACTTTTAATCTGGTTAATTTAAGTAAAAATACATTTAAATCACGAGGTGTCTAATTATAAATATTAATTTTTTTTTGTTTTTTTTTTTTTTTTTTTTTTTTTTTGAAATTTTCCCTACCTGGACTCGGGAGGGGGGAGGGAAGTAAAATAAAGGTTTAAATTACTAAAAAGAACTGCTTTTATTGATTTTAAATTTCAGTTTGTCTGTGCTAAATTTGAAAATGATGAAATCAGGAAAATCTTGTAATTTCCTACTGCAGCAGCAGTTGCCAAGGGCTGCTTTTAGATTCATTTTATTCTCATCTGTCAACTTTGCCAGGATATGATAATATCTATTAAATGAAACGATGATTACACTTCTTTTGAGCTGTAGTAATCTTAATTTTGTACTAAATACAGAGGCTGTTTACACACTGTTAAAATAATTTTGATAAAAATTTAAGAAACACAAACGTTTTTCAATAAAAATTTCGGGCCAAAAGCTTTTTATTTGAAATGAGAAATAACATTTGCTTCTTTTTCAATTTCTCTTCTTTTAAAATGTGTGTAAACAAGCTGTGTATCAGAGGATGTGCTTTTGTACTTCCTGATGAGAAATATTTCTATTCCGTAGTTAAAAAATATTCTGAAGTGCATGATATTAAAATTTTGAAGTGCAAAATAAACAACATTATTAATCAAAAAGGGAAAAGCTGTCAATAGTTACTTCTACATTGAAAGAAGGACTCCAAACGAATACTTGAAAAAGGTATATACTATTTCTAATATTTCTAAAGTTAAATCGTTGGCAACAAAAGAAAATCTGCTAATGCAGAAATCAATTGCAAAGTCTTTAAATACATTTGCAGCAATAATAAACCAAGATTTACAACTTATGTTCACCAGCATTTGCTGACGTGTTCCTCAATGTAGAACAATTTGTAGAACCTTGTATGAAACCTCTTTAGAAGGAGATAAATGCAAATACATTGTTACCCTCGATGAAGCATGGTTTTACCTAAATGACTGCAATAAGAAAATGTCTATTTATTATACAAAACAGAGAAAAAATTGTACTAATTTGGTTCTATTAATGCAAAGAATGTCTCAGTAAAGGGTATCTTGTAGTGGGAAATTAAAAGATTACGAACAATTGAAAAACTTTTTTTAAATTAATGTACTATCAAGAGAAAATGCATTCCATTTCTTTATCTTGATGACTTTGAAAGAGCAAACTTCTTCAAGACAAAGGAACAAGTCATACTTTGAGAAGTACCACAGCATTCCTTGAATAAATGAAGACTACAGGTATTGCATATACAGTCAAAAGTCGTTAATTCGGACACCCATAATCCGGAATGATCTATAATCCGGACCTCAAAGCTAAAATCTTTCTGCGCATGCGCCGCATTGACGCATGCGGATATGCGTTTTACTCGTGCGCCCAAGACATTTACGACTGCGCATATGCGTCTGCGCAAGTGCAGAATACGTTTTCGCGTGCGCGTTTAATGTATAACGGACGGTATAAGCTAAAATTATCTAATTATCTATTTCAGTTAATGTTGATGATTGCGTTGTTCCTTAATCTTCGAATTGGATCCGGCTTATTATTTTTTGCAGACTGTAAGAGCAATTTTCTAAAAGTAAGCTTGAACTTTTGATTATGTCAAATAGAATTTCTGATGCTGGAGCTCCAAAGGATCTAGAAAACGAAAGTATGTTTCGATGTCCATCAAACAAAAAACGAATTGCTACAAAAAATGGATAAAGGCATATTCTTTGTTTATCTAACCGTTTCGAAATCTGTTTATCAATTTCACGCTGCTCTGCGCGGGGGGGGGGAAGACGTCCCGGCGCGCAATGAACTGGAAGTTGATTTGTCAACACTATCGTTATCTTCAGAGCAGATTTTTTTATTTTATTCGGCTTATAATTCCTTACTAAATGTAGTATTTAATTTCGATATACTCCTTCTTTGATATGATTTAAATCAAATTCCTCGTCATTATAAATACCACGAATACAAATCAAATAGTTTTCTGGTTGCAATTTTCTAATTTCGGCTATGCGTAAGGTATGCTTTACGCATCCGCGCGTTGAAAGAAATGTTTAATAAAGTAAACAAATAAATATTAGGCTTCTTTTTTGGTAAATTTTGATACCCTTTAGATCATAATTGCTCGTTATTTTATAAATTACGGTTTCATATTTTTAATTTATATTTTTATTTCTTTCTGCATGCCATCTTACCAGATTTAAACTGATGATCTATAATCCGGAATCGCCGAAGTCCCGACGAGTCCGGATTAAAGACTTTTGACTGTATAACTTTTCAATGTATTTCTGCAAAGTCCCCACTTATTATGCCTTTGGTCTCTAGAAAAGAGCTTTGTAACCGCAAACCCACCACAGATGAACTCTGGAAGTAGTAATCAATGCTTTTGGAAATTTTACAAAAACCCCATCTGTCATGGAAATCGAGGTACGGAGTCATAGTCCAAAAAAGAAAAGTTTGTCATTTCGAACAATTAAAGAAAATACTCTTAACATTTTAAACTTTAATTAAACAGCCCTGAAATGTTCTAAAAATGTGTAAACACCCTCGGTATTAATAAGCAATATTAG